AAGTCCCCAAAGTTTCAGCCCCGTAGCTTTTGCCGGTCTCGAGATGAAAAATCGGTACAGCGGCCCTGCGCACGCACAGACACATACACAGACAATCTCTCGTCAATATGCGTTTTCCGCATTGCATAACTCAAAAAAACGCAAAAAATGTTGATACTGTGATATTCACTGGCATTGTTACGCGATCGTATCATATAAATTCTCGTTTTATAACCACTGAATAAAGGTTTAACAATCAAAATCTGAGGCGTAAGATCCGAGCAAGCCCACGAACTGGCAAAATGGAAGCAAATCCATACGGCAGCCGACGCGTTGATTATTCAAGAAAAAAAAAAAAATCCGAACCACCGAGTGCTAAGTTTGGAGAAAAGCGTGTGTTAAATCAACAAACACGAAAGGAGGATCTTTTTTTTTTTTCAACGGCGCTCCTTCTCCACACAGGGAAGCTTCTTCCAAAATTTCAGCTTCCCTGCTTACGTGGATTCTGAATTGATGAGATTAGGCAAAGTGCACTCGGTAAACCATAGACGCATACACACACAACAAGTATAGGTATGGCATTGATAAAATGCGTTTTGTGCAACTGTTACACAGCACAAAACGCACGAAAACGGCAATTACAAAAACTCGGCTCGGCTCGCTCAGCGAAAAAATTTCCAGATGCCCCCTTTTTTCCGCTAACGCTATTTTCGAGGTAGCTCGGCATTTTGCCAGCTAGATTCTGTGGTTTCCAAGATAATTTACCTGCAAAAATCTCCACGGGGTTGTAGGAAATCTCGAGAGCGCGGGAATGCTGAATTTGCAAGACCGTGCGTGGGTAGGAGTCACAACCCTAAAATTTCGGTTTTGTAGACTCCGTGGTCCCCGAGATAATAATTTACCCGTGAAAAATTTTCACGGGGCCGTACATGTTACCCGCGGGCACAGGAAAGCTGAATTTAAATTTTCTGGGTAGCACATGGGTGGGGGACATGCCCACAAAATTTCAGTCTTCTAGCTTCCGTGGTCCCCGTGATAATAATTTTACCCGCCCAAACTTTCATGGGGCCGTACGTGTTACCCGCGAGTACGGGGAGGCTCAATTCGGGGTCGCATGTGGGCGGGGAACGTTCCCCTAAATTTTCAGCTTCCTAGCTTTGTGATTCCCGAGTTGAAAGTTGCGGACAAGTTGTTGCGGACACACACACAGACAACTCCGTGAAAATTTGCGTTTTGTACTGCTGTTACGCAGCACAAAATGCATAACAAAAGTCCGAAAGGAAACAGGAAGGCACACTGCTTCACCCCCGGTTTTCTGGCTATATAATAGTCAGTTGTTATGTGAA